TCGCCGACTATATAATCTTTTTTGTTTGAACCCACCAGATTGTAGCAAGCGCCTTCTCAAAGTATTCTTATCTCGTTTAATGGCCTCTAATGAGCTGTTAGTTAGCCGACCAAAATTTGCGATATAAATTTATACTCATATAATTATTATATACTAATATAGTATCAATTTTGTGCTCTGACTACAGAAAATATGCCCGGCTACAATATATATTGACAATAGTTTATACTACTAAGAAAACGTATTAAAATTAAGGGGGTAAAAAAAAATTATGCACTTAATTTACGCCCACGTGGGGATTAAAGCATTATACTCAATTAAGTCGAGATAAATAATGGAACTATTTTCTTTAGATTTCGATTGCAAAATTAGCATTTTTAATTTGCACGAAGACGAGTTAATTATCTTCAGGAAACATTTTTACGGAAATCGTTCATATATATAAGACAGTTTATTAAAATAGTTTAACCTCTATGCAAATTAGACCGCTTATATAATATATGTATGGAATCCAGGCAGCTGCATACATGGGTATAAAGTTTAGTTTGATTTTAATCTATCTCAGACGCATACAGAATTGCACTTAACTCAGCTATAATTCGTAATTCACATGTTGTGATCCGTTACGACTGCTTGTACGCAATTTGAGTTTCGTGGTTGCAGTTATTTGAAGCTTTCTGCTCATATAGCAATCATTATTGTCGATTAAAGGAATCATGTAATTTATTAATCCGACAGCTAGTCACCTCCTCGAATTTCGTCGGATATCAAGTATGCCTAATGCCGGTTTTCCACTAGCCATAGTTTTCGCGCAAAACGACATTTTACTTTTGTTTCAGATGTCACAACTGCAACCATCTGGAACAAATTGCTCAAATAGCCTCGCTTCGCGCGAGAAATATCGCTAGTCGAAAACCGGCTTAAAAGGCGGTTCTCTGCGACGTTCTCGGCTCCATAAATATAGGAAAATGTTTACGTCAGGAATCAAACTATTTATTTAGACTATACTAATAAATTCTAAAGTTCTTAATTCTCACAATATTTTTTTTTGGTTATGAATATTGCATGTTTGTTAAGCTAGATTGATATACAATCATCATTCACTGGCCTAAATCTACTCACGCGATTGGTCAAAATCAATCACTTGGTTTTTCATCCCTACAACAGATCATGGGAATCATATAGTTTATTCGCAATAACCCATGAAAATCGTGGTTTATTCAAAAATGACAGCCTGCAGCGAAGCTTGGATCTTCAGTGAAGCAATCAATGAACTCAGATTGTATATATTAAAAGAGACTTTATGTTCGTGTTTTGTTCACAAATAAATGCACTTGCCGACCATACAATGAACTCGAAATTTCAATAGTGAAATTTCTCGTTGTATGCATGGTCAGCGCGTGCGTTTATTTGTAAACAAAACACTCACAACAGTCCCTAACCCTTAAATATATAATGGCCTTTAGTTTGAAAAATATTTTAGAAAGGCAATTGATAATAAACATATTGCTATGTATTTTTTTTCGTTTTGATCTTCGTTTATAGCTTCCTGGATGGCTTCTTTTCACCTGTCGCAATTTATCGTAACGTCTGATGACACCGTTGCATGGACTCAATTACATATTCAACCTTTTGGCGAAAAACTGCACAGAGTGCGGATCAATTAAACTATATAACTAAATATTATTACTTGCATGCTAGAAATCTTATAAAATCTAAGTTTTCAATAATAAAATAATCGACCAGCGAAATATTGCATATTTTCTTTTCAATTGAGAAAATCAGTCCTGCATGTTGAACTAATTCATTTATGCTGTTAAAATTCTAAAGAAAATATGCAAATATTTGTCTAGCGAACTACATCTCTGTAAATGGAAATCAAGTAATATTCAACATGGCGGAGCGAATTTATTTTCATGTTCTTCTCCAATTTGTTTCAAATAGGAGTTCTGAAACAAAAGTTAAATACATTATTCTGGCGTCACTCACGGACAATTTTTCAATACAAACGTCTCTTTAATGCTTTCAAGAAGCTGCCGCGGTGTCTCAATATAATTTGACATCTATCATTTGTTGTCATTTATAATATTTTAGCAACACATATATATGTAGATACACCGAAAATATAGAAATTAAAGTGCGCTCATTAAGATTTCAATCGCTATGATAGCATAACGCAATAACTCGCTGATTCAACAGAAATCCGCTTTGAAAATAAGAGCTGTTAATTTTTCACCAAAAATTCAAGTTTGATTAAAGTTTTTAAGAAAAGGCGTCTTCTGTCAACTTAAACATTAAATATTTTGTCATAAAAACTGTACATATAAAACACAATATATTCAAGCAGTTACAATGAATTATTAATACGTTGAAGATAAAGTTAAAAAATACATATAGTCGCTTTACCGTTCGCGTCTTTATCAATCGCCCAGTGGCTTCGGTTTCATAATCTTCTCAAAATGTACACAGTTCCAATTCATATTCTTTTCTTTTCCGTTGTGTTTAAATTTATCGCAATGATTGTCGGAGTTTTAGGAAATTCCACTGTCTTGATTTACACGATTTCTTTGGGCAAAGAAAAGACAGCAACGTCGTACTTGATGGGAAACTTGGCACTGGCGGACTTATTCGTGTGTTTAACAATTTATCCAATATGGATTATAGAATTTATTCAGACTATATTAAACATTGACGGTGATCAAGATTTGTTTTGCTCGCTAAGTCGCCCGATCGTTTGGGCATTGTTGTTCGCTTCGGTGGCTACCCTTGTGGCTATCACTATTGATCGTTACCTATATATTGAAAAACCTTTCAAGCATCTATTAATTGTGACGAGACGGCGCGTTCTAATAGTCATTCTAGGAATTTGGTTAACTGCATTATTTCTCGTCATTGTACTTCAAGATCCTTACAAGAAGGATAGAAGAGAAAAAAGAAGTTATTGTGATGTTCCTCAGGTCACGTTTTTGCCAATGAATGTCTTTATTGTCTACATTCCACTAACTTTAATATTTTTAATGAATTTTCGAATATTAATGATCGCACGGACTCATCGTAAACGTATTTTGGTCGAATCAATAATGGCCAATAATAGCGTGCAAAAAAGCAAGAAAAAGCTCTCCAGTGTACACCGTTTTATCCATGCTTTAAAAGCAGCAAAAACATTTGCAATCGTTGTCGCGGTGTTGGCATGTTGTGTCTTAACCCCAAATGTTGTAGGGCTGGCGTTTGAGTATTTTTGTCGCTTTTCGTGCAGCCCGATTTGGTACGTTGTCATTCATTTTGAATTTGTTGGAGTAAACTCGATCGTGAATGCTTTCATTTATGGCATCAGACATATTAAGTGCAGAAAAGCATATGGGAATATTCTGTTAAGAACACTCGGCTGTAACTGCAGCGAGAAGCCTACGAACTAACTCTAACAAATATATTATTAACATTAATAATAATATTCATAATTGGGATGTGGACGATATTTGGAACGTCAAATCAGTTCCAAGCAACGGAAACAATGTAGGTTTCAACCGACAGTTCAACACAAGCCTATTTTCTGGCTGTTGTAAAATAAAAGATGTTTAATAAGATAAACTGGTCTATATATAGATGCTGGCGCGACCACAGGTGCGACCATCTTGATCTTATTATTCCACTTAACTCGGTTGTGTAGTGGAGACACATGGGGGATGATGCCATGTTAAAAGTTCATGCTGATTTGGAAGAATATTTTAGGCAAATGGGCAGATGATCAAAAATAACAACTGATATAGACGTTTATAACAACAACTAGTATAATAATAATTTTTGATAAAGCAAACTCTAGAGACTAGAATAAAATTTTGAGTTTCCGAATTGGTGTTTTAAAAATCTTCAAAGTAGCGCTCATGTTTCCTCTCATCTAATTACTTTCCCTCTCTTGTCTCATCTAACTCATTTTCGTTTCGTTTTTACATACGCCTTGATTTTGTTTATCTATTCTCTCCCAGTCCCTTCCAAAAGTGAATCCCGTTCGCTTCCTTTATGTTCCAAAGACTTACATTCAGACTAAAACCGCTACATTAATTTCATCGCTTCTTGTTAAAAATTGCTCACGCCCGTTTACAGCCTGGAACGAAAAGTATCAGTGGCCTACCGAAATTTCATTTTCAAAACAAACAACTGGACATGCGCCGAACATGCGCAGACGTTAACTCATTTTAGCTAGTCAGCATAATTCGCCATATAAAACCTGAAGGAATCCCTGGCAGGTGATTTCCAGAACCTTTCAACTCGGGATTAATTTTGACATTAAGCTAAGTTGTATGCAAATCTGCATTTTTTTATCGCAACACACGCCGATAATTTCCCGAGCCTTAATATTTTACTGTACAGACAGTACAGTATTACATTACCACAGTATATCACAATATCAGTCATAAAAATTTAATATCATGACTGATAATTGCCATGAATATGCCTTTGACGCTTTGCAAAATTCTTGTGAGTTCGGTACAAAAATCATTGTGAGAGCAATAGGTCTGCATGATCCCAGTCAAAGCATGCCTACGTGAATAATGCACTTTTCCAAAAAATTCAACCTTAATATTCCGATGCGGTAGAAGAATATTTCCAAAAGGGTGCCGCGCAGTCTCTCTTAACAATTTTAAGCTATCAAAGCAATATGTACAGTGTAAACAGAAAGATGCAAACGTTAAATTTTAGTAAAACAAAACCGATTGAGGTGGTCAATCGCTGATGAAACACAATAATCCTCGATGGAACTGCTGTCAATTTTTAAAGAAGAATTTCTGCTTTAATATAAATTTAAAAGGACATCCTATATTTGTATAAAAACTCTCCCCATTTACAGTCGCAGTAAATATATTCAAGCAAATGCAGTAAATTATTAATATGTGTTAAATTTACTCAGTTAATTACATGCATACAAAATTTAAAACATCTTCAATATTTTCCTTATTCTCAACAAACATTAACTATAGCTTTCGTTTCATTATCTCCTCAAAATGACAACAATGGATACAGTCCCTGTTCGTCTTCTTTTCTTCTCCGTTGTATTTAAATTCATCGCAATGATTATCGGAGTTTTGGGCAATCTTACTGTACTAATTTACACAGTTTTCTTGAACAAAGAGAAGACCGCGACGTCTTATTTGATGGGAAACTTGGCACTCGCGGACTTATTAATGTGTGTAACATTTTATCCAATATGGATTGTTGAGTTCATTCAGACTATATTAAACATTGACGGTGATCAGGATTTGTTTTGTGCATTAAGTCGCCCAACCATCTGGGCAGCGATGTTCGCTTCGGTGGCTACACTACTAGCTATCACGATTGATCGCTATCTATACATTGAAAAACCTCTGAAGTATATATTTCTTGTGACGCGAAGACGTGTATCACTGGTTATTATAGGAATTTGGTCAATTACACTTTTAGCCATGATTGTACTTCAAAATCCTTATAAAAAGGATAAAAGAATTAGAAGAAGTTATTGCGATATATCCAACGACACGTTTTTGCTAATGAATATTTTCATAGTCTACATTCCGCTGACTTTAATATTTCTACTGAATCTTCGAATATTGATGATTGCACGGACTCAGCGTAAACGAGTTGCGGCAGATACAACGAAGGCCAGTTTCACTTTCGGCGAGCAAAGCAACAAGAGACAGCTTTTGAGTATATATCATTTTATCCGTGCTTTAAAAGCTGTAAAAACATTTGCAATCGTTGTCGTGGTGTTGGCCTTTTGCGTTCTAACGCCAACTGTTGTTGGGTTGGCGATCGAGTTTTCTTGCAGTTATTCTTGCAGAATGATTTGGTATGTTGTTATTCACTATGAATTCATTGGAATAAACTCGATCGTGAATGCCTTCATTTATGGAATGAGGCATATGAAATACAGAAAGGCATATGGGAATATTCTGTTCAGAATAATGCGCTGTAATAGATCAGGCAACTGACTGGTTTTCTAATGCCACATGCATTTCACATGTTACTAGAAAGATTGCTTTGTTCAACTTTCACATCCCTAGGACTGGAGGGAAATAGAATCCAAAAATTAATATTTCAGCATCTTTCTTTTAATAGTAACTATACAGCACTTCTATACCATTATTAGATAGGAACCTGTAATACCGAGCAATAGTACATAATGCTTGATCTAAGCCACCCAGGTTTTTCATCACCTGACCATACCTGAACCAGAATCCAATACATTAGAAAAAATTCACTGGAAATGCTTCTAAATGCATACTATGGAAATGGTAATTAATATTGGATATTGTTTACTTTTTTCATGCTATATATCCACAGTATGAAAATGGCAATTACATAGAAATGGATATTGTAAATTTCCATACTATTTCCATCTTACATTCATACTATGTTCATGTGTCCTTTTATTTTGCACGTCTTTTAAACCGTTGATTTACGAACAGGATCGTCAGAGC